ACTGTCACCCATATTCTAAACCTATCCATAACCCTAATGCATACCCTAAACCTAACCCCTAGCCGTACCCTACCTTGTATCCTAAACCATACCCAAACCCTAACCCTATCCCTAACACTTCCTAAGCAGTACCCTAATCCTAAGCCATATCCCAACACTAACACATATCCTAACCCATACACTAACCCTAACCCATAGCCATACACTAAACTGTACCCTAACCCTAATGTGTACCCTAACTCAAACCCTAACCCTACCCCATAAACTAACCGTAACCCGTACTCTAATCCTAATCTGTACCCCAACCCTAAACCGTACCCTAACCTTTACCCTAACCATAACAAGTAGCTCTACCCTATCCTGTACCCTAAACCTAACCAGTACCCTAACCCTAACGCGTACCCTAACCCGTACCCTCACCCTTTCCTGTACCCAAACCCTAACACATACTCTAACATTAACTCATACCCTAAAACATACCCTAACCCTAACACGTTACTGTACCCTAACCTGTACCCTAACCTCTATCCGAACCCTAACCCTAACCCGTACCCGTACCCATACCTTAATCCTAATCCATATACTAACACTAACCCATACCCTAACCCTACCCCATACCCTAAACCTCATGCGTATTCTAACCCTAACACTAACGCTAAACCAGACCCGAACCCTAACCTGTAGCCGTAGCCTAACCTGTACCCTAACCCATACCTTAACCCTAACCCTAATCCTTACCCTAACCAGTACCCTAATCCTAAGATGTATCCTAACACTAACCCATACCCTAACACATACACTAACCCTAACCTGTAGCTGTACACTAAACTGTACCCTAACCCTAACCCTAACCTGTACCCTAACTCTGCACCGTACCCTAATGCTAACCCGTACCGTAACCCTAACCCGTACCCAAATACTTATCCATCCCCTAACCTGTACCCTAACAGTAAACGTAGCTGTACCCTATCCTATACCCTAACCCTCACCTGTACCCTAAACCTAACCATAACCCTAACCCGTACCCTAACACGTACCCTAACCTTACCATGTACCCTAATCCTAACACGTAACATAACATTAACACGTACCCTAAAACAGACCCAAACCCTAACAAGTAACCATTCCCTAACCTGTACCCTAATCCCTACCCGAGGCCTAACCCTAAACCCTATCCTAACCCTAACCCGTACCCTAACCCTAACATGTATCCTAACACTACCAGTACCCTAACTTACCCTAACTTACCCAGTACCCTAACACTTACCCTGACCCTAATTCATAGCCATACACTAAAGTGTACCCTAACCCTAACCCGTACCCTAACCCATACCCTAACCCATACCCTAACCCTGCCCTGTACTCTAACCCTAACCCATACTCTATTCCATACCCTAACCCTTCCCCACACCCTAACCCTAACACGTACTCTAACTCTAACATGTATCCTAAAACATACCCTAACCTTAACATGTAAACGTACCCCAACCTGTACCCTAAGCTCTACCCAAAGCCTAACCCCAACCCTACCCCGTATCCTCACACTAACCCATACCCTAACATGTAACGTAACACTAACTTGTAGCCGTACAGTAAACTGTAGCCTAACCCTAACCCGTACACTAACCCTAACATGTATCCTAAACCTATCTGTACCCTAACCCTAACCCGTACTGTAACCCTAATCCAAACCATAACCCTAACCCACACCCAACCTTAATCCTTAGTCATACCCTAACCTGTACCCTAACCCATACCTGAAGCCTATCCGTAACCCTAACCCTAACCCTAAACAGTATCCTAATCCTAAGCCATATCCTAACACTAACCCATATTCTAACCTGTACACTAACCCTAACCTGTAGTCGTATACTAAACTGTACCCTAACCCTAACCCGTACCCTGCCTGTACCCTAATCCGTACTCCAACCTTAACCCGTACCCTAACAGGTAACCTAGCCATAGCACGTACTTGTAACCTATCCTGTATCTTACCCCTAACTGGTACTGTAACCCTAACGCTCACCCTAACCCGTACCCTAACCCTTACCCTTTCCCTAACACACAGACTCTAACCCTAACATGTACCCTAAAACATACCCTAACCATGACACGTAACCATACCCTAACCTGTACCCTAATCCGTACCTGAAGCCTAACCCTTATCCTAAACCTAACCCTAACGCATACCCTAATCCTAACACGTATCCTAACACTAAACCATACCCTAACCCTACCCCGTGCCTTAACCCTAACCCATATCCTAACCCTAAACCTAACCCTAACCCATACCTGAACCCTAACCCATAGCTGTACCCTAACCTGTACCCTAACCCATGCCCGAACCCTAACCCTAACCCTTACCCTAACCAGTACCCTAATCCTAAGCTGTATCCTAGCCCTAACCCATAACCTAAAATGTACCTTAACCCTAACTCTTATCCGTACACAAAACTCTACCCTAACCCTAACCCTAACCCTAACGAGTACCCTAATCCTAAGCCGTATACTAACACTAACCCATACCCTAACCCATACATTAACCCTAACCCATAGCCGTACACTAAACTGTACCCTAACCTTAACCCGTACCCTAACCCTAACCCGTACCCTACCCCGTACCGTACCCCGTAACCTAAACCTAACCCATACCCTAATCTTAATTTGTACCCCAACCCTAACCCCTACCCAAAAGTGTACCCTAACCATAACACGTAGCTCTACCCCAACCCTAACCGGTACTCTAATCCTAAACTAACTCTAACCCGTACCCATACCCTTCCCCGTACCATAACCCTAACACGTACTCTAACCCTAACATATACCCTAAAACATACCCTAATACGTTACCGTACCCTAACCTGTACCCTTACCTCTACCCAAACCCTAACCCTAACACTAACCCGTACCCTAACCCATCTCCTAATCCTAACCTGTATACTAACAATAACCCGTACCATAACCGTACCCCGTACCCTAAACCTCACCCATATCCTAACCCTAACACTAACCCTAACCCATACCCGAACCCTAACCCATAGCCATACCCTAACCTGTACCCTAACCCATACCCTAACACTAACCCTAACCCTAACCAGTACCCTAATACTAAGCCATATCCTAACACTAACCCATACCCTAACGTGTACACTAACCCTAACCCATAGAGGTACACCTAACTGTACCCTAACCCTAACCCATGCCCTAACCCAAACCCTAACCCTAACTTGTACCCAAACCCTACACTGTACCCTAATGCTAAACTGTACCATTACCCTAAGCCATACACAAAGCCTAACGCGTCCCCTAACCTGTACCCTAACACGAACATGTAGCTCTACCCTATACTGTACTCTAATCCTAACCAGTACCCTAACCTTAACACATAGCTATGCCCCATATGGTATCCTAAACCTAACCGGTACCCTATGCTAACCCGTACCCATACCCGTACCCTAATCCTAGCCCGTATCCTAACACTAACCCGTACCCTAAACCATACACTAACCCTAACCCGTAGCCGTACACTAAACTGTACCCTAACCCTAATGTGTACCCTAACCCTAACTCTAACCCTTACCCTACCCTGTAACCTAACACTAACCCGTACCCTAATCCTAATCCATACCCCAACCCTAAACTGTACCCTAATCTGTAGCCTAACTGTAACACATAGCTGTACCCTATCCTGTACCCTAACCCTAACCAGTACCCTAACCCTAACCTGTACCCTAACCTGTACCCTCACCCTTTCCCGTACCATAACCCTAACATGTACTCTACCCCTAACACATACCCTAATACATACCCTAACCCTAACACATTACCATACCCTAACCTGTACCCTAACCTCTACCTGAAGCCTAAACCTAAACCTAACCCGTACCCGTACCCTAATCCTAACCCATATACTAACACTAACCCATACCCTAGCCCTACCCCGTACCATAAACCTCATCTGTATCCTAACCCTAACACTAACCCTAACCCATACCCGAACCCTAACTCGTAGCCATACCCTAACCTGTACCCTAACCCATACCCGAACCCTAACCCTAACCCTAAACCTTACCCTAACCAGTACCCTAATCCTAAGCCATATCCTAACACTAACCCATACCCTAACAATTACACTAACCCTAACTTGTAGCTGTACCCTAAACTGTACCCTAACCCTATCCGTGCCCTAACCCTAACCCTAACCTGTACCCTAACTCTGCACCATACCCTAACGCTAACCCATACAGTAACCCTAACCCATACACACACCCTAACCTGTCCCCTTACCTGTACCCTAACAGTAACACGTAGCTCTACCCTACTCTGTACCCTAACCCTCACTGGTACCCTAAACCTAACCCTAAACCTATCCCGTACCATAACCTGTGCCCTAACCCTAACACGTACCCTAAACCTATCCTGTACCCTAATCCTAACCTGTACCCTAACAGTAATCCAAACCCTAACCCTAACCCGTACTCTAACCTGTACCCTAACACTAACACGTAGCTGCACCCTATCCTGTAATCTACCCTACCCAGTACACTAACCCTAACCTGAACACTAAACCTAACACATACCCTACCCCACACAGTAACCCTAATACTTAGCCATACCCTAACCTGTACCCTAACCCATATCCGAAGCCTAACCCTAACGCTAAACCTAACCATAACCAGTACCCTAACCCTAAGCCGTATCCTAACACTAAGCCATACTCTAACCCATAGACTAACCCTAACTCACAGTTGTACACTAAACGGTACCCTAACCCTAACCTATATCCTAACCCTAACCCGAACCCTACCCGTACCATAACCCTAACCCATACTCCAACCTTAACCCGTACCCTAACCTGTACACTAACCCTAACACGTAGCTGTACCCTATCCTGTACCCTAAACCTAACCAGTACCGTAACCCAAACCCTAACCCTAACCCATACCCTAACCCTACCAGGTACCCTAATCCTAAAACATACCCTAACCCTAACACGTAACCGTACCTTAACCTGTACCCTAACCTCTACCCGAAGCCTAAACCCAACCCTACCCCATATCCTCACACTAACCCATACCCGAACATGTAACATAACACTAACTCGTAGCCGCACAGCAAACTGTAGCCTAAACCTAACCCATACACTAACCCTAATACGTATCCTAAACCTACCTGTACCCTAACACTAACCCGTACTGTAACCCTAATCCAAACCATAACCCTAACCCATACCCTAACCCATACCCAACCCTAATCCTTAGTCATACCCTAACCCATACCTGAAGCCTATCCCTAACCCTAACCCTAACCCTAACCAGTACCCTAATCCTAAGCCATATCCTAACACTAACCCATATTCTAACCCATACACTAACCCTAACCCGTAGTCATATACTAAACTGTACTCTAACCCTAACCCTTACCCTACCTGTACCCTAATCCATACTCCAACCTTAACCCGTACCCTAACAGGTAACCTAACCATAACAGGTACTTGTAACCTATCCTGTATCTTACCCCTAACTGGTACCGTAACCCTAACACTCACCCTAACCCCTTATCCTAACCCTTACCCTTACCCTAACTCTTACACAGACTGTAACCCTAACACGTACCCTAAAACATACCCTAACCCTAACACTTTACCGTACCCTAACCTGTACCCTAACCTCTATCTGAAGCCTAAACCTAAACCTAACCTGTACCCGTACCCGTACCCTAATCCTAACCCATATACTAATACTATTCCATACCCTAACCCTACCCCGTACCCTAACCCTACCCTGTACCCCAAACATCATCCGTATCCTTACCCTAACACTAACCCTAACCCATACCCGAACCCTAACTCGTAGCCATACCCTAACCTGTACCCTAACCCATACCCGAACCCTAACCCTAACCCTTACCCTTACCCCAACAAGTACCCTATTCCTAAGCCGTATCCTAACCCTAACCTGTACCCTAACCCTAACCCTACCGTAACCCTAACACGTACCATAAAACATACCCTAACCCTAACATGTAAATATATCCTAACCTGTACCCTAACCCTATCCGAAGCCTAACTCTAACACTAACCCTAACCCATTCCCGTACCCTAATCCTAATCCATATCCTAACACTGACCCCTACCCTAACCCATACCCTAATCCTAACTCATAGCCATACACTAAACTGTACCATAACCCTAAGCCGTACCCTAAGCCTAAGCCGTATCCTAACCCTAACCCGTACCTTAACCCTAACACGTACCTGTACCCTATCCTGTATCCTAACACTAACCAGTACCATAACCCTAACCTTAACCCTAACGCGTACCCTAACCCTATCCCATACACTAAACCTAACCTGTAACCTAATCCTAACACATACCCTAACCCATAACCTCACCCTAACCCTTAGCCATACCCTAACCTGTACCCTAACCCGCACACGAAGCCTAACCCTAACCCTAACCCTAACCAGTACCCTAATCCTAAGCCGTATCCTAACACCAACCCGTACCCTAACCCATACACTAACCATAACACGTAGCCGTCCACTAAACTGTACCCTAACCCTAACCCAGACCCTAAACCTAACCCTAACCTTGACCCTAACCCTAACCCGTACCCTAACCCTAAACCGTACACCAACCCTAACCTGAACCCTAACCTGTACCCTAACCATAACACATAGCTGTACCCTATCCTGTACCCTAACTAGTACCCTAACCCATACACTAACCTGTACCCTAACCTTACCCTGTACCCTAATCCTAACACGTACCCTAACCCTAACATGTACCCTAAAACATACCCTTACCCTAACACATAACCATACCCTAATCTGTAGCCTAAGCCCTACCCAAAACCTAACCCTAACCCTAACCCTAACTTGTAGCCATACACTAAACTGTATGCTAACCCTAACCCATACCCTAACTCTAACCCTAACCCTACACCATACCCTAACCCTAACCCGTACCCTATCTCTATCCCCTATGCTAACCCTAACACATACCCTAACCCTAACACGTAACCTAAAACATACCCTAACCCTAACAGATAACTGTACCCTAACCTGTACCCTAACCCCTACCCAAACYCTAACCCTAACCCTAAACCATACCCTAATCCTAACCCATATCCTAAAACTAACCCGTACCCTAACCYGTAACCTAACCCTAACCCTTATCTGTACACTAAACTGTACCCTAACCTTAAACCTAACCCTAACCGGTAACATAACCCTACCCCGTATCCTAACCCTAACCCATACCCTAACCCTAACACGTACCCTAACCCATACCCTAACCCTAACCCATAGCCATACCCTAACCTGTACCCTAACCCGTACCTGAACACTCACCCTAACCCTAAACCTTACCCTAACCAGTACCCTAATCCTCAGCCGTATCCTAACACTAACCCATACCCTAACGTGTACACTAAACCTAACCCGTAGCGTACACTAAACTCCACCCTAACCCTAACCCATACCCTAACCCTAACCCATACCTTAACATGTACCCTAACCATAACACGTAGTTCTACCCTATCCTGTACCCTAACCCTAACCTGTACCCTAACCCTAACCCGTACCCTTACCCTAACACATACCCTAACACATACCCTAATCCTATCCTACAGCCGTAACTTAACCTGTACCCTAACTCATACCCGAACCCGTACCCCAACCCTAACCCATACCCTAACCTGTACCCTAACTGTAACACATAGCTGTACCCTATACTTTACCCTAACCCTAACACGCACCCTAATCCCAACCCGAATCCTAACACTAATCCATATCGTAACCCGTAGCCGTACACTAAACTGTACCCTAACCCTAACCGTAGCCGTACACTAAACTGTACCCTAACCCTAACCCGTACCCTAACCCTACCCCATACCCTAACCCTAACCCTCACCCTAAACCTACCCTGTACCCTAACCCTAAGCCGTACCCTAACCTGTACCCTAAGCATAACACTTAGTTCTACCCTACCCTGTACCCTAACACTAACCGGTACCCTAACCCTAACCTTAACCCTAACACGTACCCTAACCCTACCCCGTTCCCTAACCTTAACCTGTAACCTAACCCTAACACGTACCCTAACCCTAACATGTACTCTTACCCTAACGTGTACCCTCACCCATACCCTAACCCTAACCCTTACCCTAACCAGTACCCTAATCATAAGCTGTATCCTAACACTAACCCGTACCCTAAGCCGTACACTAACCCTAACCTGTAGCCGTACACTAACCCGTACCCTAACCCTAACCCGTACTTTAACCTGAACCCTATCCCATACCCTAATCTGTACCCTATCCTGTACCCTAACCCTAACTGGTACCCTAATCCTAACCCTAACCCATAACCCAACCCTACCCCGTACCCTAATCCTAACATGTACCGTAACCCTAACTCGTACCCTAAAGCATACCCTAACCCTAACACGTAACCATACCGTAACCTGTAACCTAACACCTACCCGAACCCTAGCCCTACCCCTAACCCGTACACTAATCCTAACCCGTATCCTAACACTAACCTGTACCCTAACCCATACCCTAACCCTAACTTGTAGCTGTACACTAAACTGTACCCTAACCCTAACCCTACCTTGTACCCTAACCCTAACCCATACCCTAACCCTAACCCATAGTTGTACCCTATCCTTTACCCTAACCCTAACCGGTACCCTAACCCGTAACCTAACCCTACCCGGTACCCTAACCCTACCCTGTCCCCTAACCGTAACACGTACCCTAACCCATACCCTAATCCTAACCCTTAGCCATACCCACCATGGGAACTCATTTTAGAAAGTTAGGTAGGTCAGGGTAAGTAAAAATAACAAACATTTGTTAATACTTTTTCTACATATAAATATTTTCAAAGTTTAGGACCGTCCATAAAACGAGGATATAGATATTATTATTCTCAATTTATATTTAGAAAGGCAATATATCATGCACCTATTGATTTATAACAAACTATTCACAAACACAATAGTAATACAACAGTTTATAATTATTCATGCATCACAAGGGTGAAATTCTGCTGACCTCGTTGGGACTTAGCTCGTCTCGTTGCCTGAGACAACTGGGACAACTGAGCTCAGTGCCCATGTCTCTCACCTTCTCTTGGGACTACCAGGTTAGACTGGGACATGTCTTTTTCTTGATGATGGCAGAAGCACAAGCCCACATATATAATTGCTTTTCAAAACTCTACTGGTGTCATATTTGCTACCCTCACCCCTACATTGGCTAAAGCAGATCATATGGCCAAGTTGAGGTAAGATTCCTCACTTACCAAGGGACATAAATATAAGGAGGAGTGAAAACTTGGAACTGTTAGTGTAATTATTCTACTACAGGTAGGGCACTCCACTTGTCAAGATTTTAAACTCTGTAAGTAGAATTCCTGGGTGCATATCCTGCGTCTACCATGAGCTCTGTGACCTTATGCAAATTACTAACATATCTAAGCCTGGTTCTTTATTTTAATAAATGAAGATATCAAGACTATTTATCTTATATAGTTAATAGATACATATGTCTGAGCTCTGTCTACCAAAAAGACATATTCAAAATTTTAACTATCATTAATAATGTTATTCCGTAAGTGTGGAAATTGAGGTTCATATGGGTTGACATGTTTAATAATAAAATTTAACATTAGTAATATGCATTGAAATTAGTGCTTGAATGCAGAAATGCAGATTACTTGACTTTGAATTTCAGTTTCTTTACATGCCATCTTTCTATCACTACATGAAAATCATTAAGTATGACCACTACAGACAATATAAATATACTTAACAAAGTATTATATTCTTAAACCAATATTATTAGGGCTGTATTGTAAAAATTTCAGGTTAGGAAAAAAATTTGATATCTATCTTTGAGTATTTAATTTTCGTTGAAATATAATTTACTTTTCCCATTTATAAAAAAAATGTTAAATAAATGACACATTGGCCTTATTAAGTACAATAAATGACCCAAACTAATCAGATGTATTACATGCAAGTTGGTGTGGATTACTGAGCAAACATTATAATTACATTTTAAAATTCAAATTCTAATACTGAATGTCAACTAGGACACTTGCAAAGGGGAATTGAAGCAACCAGTGTGTCTTAATGACATTGTGCTACTTTAATATAAGGAACACTGTGTAAAGTCAACACTTTTAAGGTACCCACATATATAGTGGAAATTCTTGCAACAGACATTTAAGATTATTTTAAGGAATGAATATAGCAACCAGTGCCTTCTAACAGAAAGGCATTTTTTGTAGAAACATGCCAGTCTCAATTTTCTATTATGTCTGACACTATTCCATATGTTCAGAGCTC